GAAGTCCTAAATTGTGTTTAGAGTGCGACTTACTAAAATCAAACGATCATTAACATACACTTTATTGGTCCCGGTAACAGGTCAAAATTCAGGATGTTACACGTACTCCTCAGTGCTCTCTTTTTAATTATTTTTTCTTTTCTTTTTTTCTTTTTTATTCTTCTTCGGTCGGTTGCTGGCCACAACGAAGGCCGACGACCGGCTATAGGCGAGCTCGAGCCTCGTCGGCAAGGATCGAGCTTGTCAGATTCCAGCAAGCTTCGAGCTGGGCCTATTGCGAGGCTCGAGTTCACTTGTGGTTGGTTGCCAACCATCTCCATGGTGGCGACCGGCCAAAGAAGAAAAAAAAGAAAACGAAAAAATAAAAAAATAAAGGAAAAATAGTTAAAAATTTGAATTTTTACAAAAGGAAAATAAATAAATACGAAAAATAAAAAAAATTATTAAAATGAGTACACGGAGGAAAACCAAGTCAGATTTTTACCAAACGATAAAAAGTATTTTCTAGTTCATTTTTAGGTTTCAGCCAAATACTGGAAAATATTATCATTTTTCTGGAAAATGACCAGGAAAATATCTTCTAAAAACATCATATTTTTCGTAAAGCAAACGGAATCTTAAAGTAGACTCTATTCCCTTTCATAATCTTGGGGTGGTAAACTGTGTATTCATCTATTGAGAGCTAGAAACTTGAAGATTAGTGAGGGGAAGTCGCCGCCTATTGATGAAATCATTATTTCTGTTGGAATTCAATTTGCAGTTTCAGTTTAATGGTTCGCCTTTTTTCTTTCGAAGAAATCATTAGAGCAGGGCAGAAGGATTTATTTTGCAATGTGGAGCATCATACGTAATTTTTTTGGGGGTAAAAGGTCCATTTTGGATGCCTGATTTGTGTTTTTTCTTTTGTGTGGGGCCATGAAAATGAGTGTTGCATTACATCTACATGCGTGCACTCTTCATTCATACGCAATAGACCTTGCTCATCAGTACCCAAATGTTCTTTTACGACAAAACTCAATGGGCTTGCCTCGTTAATTCTTTGTTTGCAATAGATGACAGACTTCCATGATTATGCATTCGGTTGTCTAAATTGAATATTTTAAAGTACCGGCCAAATAGGTTGCCATATCATCTTTGAAAGATCCATAAAATTGAGTAATATATGAATATGCAAATATTTCATTGATGGACTATCCACAGTAAATTGAGTAATATCCTATCTTGTGATACGAGAAACAACCCAAATTTTTGTAGAGCGTCGCTTATGATGTTAAAGTATTCAATATTGCTTGTCTATGGGTTTATATATATATACACACGCGGTCTTCATCTACCTATTGGCTTAATCTTGTATCCGAGTCAAGTTATGCTTAGTTTGTTTAGGCTGTGTTGCCCCATTCATGAAATTCTATGTGTGTCTTGTCTCAATGTCATCATCCTTAAGGTGGTTTACAGCAAAAAGGTTAAGAGTGCGCAAGGATTCGGATAAAAGAGTGAACCTTCAAAAACATCATCTGAAACACTTTCTTACTTCAAATCCACAAGGAGTCAATATTTTGTCGGGATAATGACACAAACAATCCCTGAACTTTGGCTTAATATGCAATTTGGCCTCTAAACTTTTAATTTGTTCAATGTATTCCTTGAACTTTAGCTTAATGTTCAATTTGATCCCTGAACTTTTAATTTGTTCAATATGGTTCCTGGACTTTTGGTACATATTCAATTTAGTCCCTAAACTATATGAAAATGTTCAATATAGTCCCTAAACTTGAATTAATGAAAGGACTATATTGATCATTTTCATATAGTTCATGGACTAAATTGAATATGTACTAAAAGTTCAAGGATCATATTGAATAAATTAAAAATTCAGGGACCAAACTGAATATTATGTTAAAGTTCATGGACTATATTGAATAAATTAAAAGTTTAAGGATCAAATTATGTACTGGGCCAAAGTTGAAGGACTGTTTGTGTCATTTTCCCTATTTTGTTAATCATCCTAGTCATCAGAGAGGCTTCACTGAATATTTGTGAGTCGTTGGAGAGGGTTCGGAGTTCGATTGATGAGGATGAATTAGAGTCCCGTGCATTTTGGATGATGAAGAAGATTGAAGAATATGTATTTGGAAATGCAAGTACCAAATGGAAGTGCAAGTGCCGAGGCATATTCCCGGAAGTCTTGTCCATCTACATTTGTCAGACTTGCACATGAGCACGTTTCCAGTTAAACCATTGAAAGCTTGACATATATTCTGATAGAATGAAAAGACAAAACAGGAAACTAAATTAAAATTTAAATATAAGTTATAATCTCAACTATAAAGCAATTTTATTGGTCAATAGAAATAGAAATGGGAAGTGGAAGTTAAATGAAAACTCCATTACTCAAATAAGAAAGTGAGGTTGGCCTTTCATAAGTTCTCAAAATATAATTTTTAAGTAAATACATTCATAAAGCTTACATTAAATTTATTGCACTTATAAACTTAGATTTGATTAACAATTGAAGTTGGAGTTTGAAAGTATCATTGGGTGAAAATTGGATGCTAGAGAAAAATTCAAATTAAAATAATCTTTGGGTGTGTTTGTTTCGTAGGAAAATGAATAATTTGAAAAATATTTTTCAAAAAATGATCATTTGAATCACTTATAAATATGAATGAACGAAAAATATTGTCATCATACACGAAATTTTTTAGACATAAATTATTATCGATAATGAAAATATTTTTCATTGGCTAATTATTTCAAGCGATTATTTTTTTGGAAAATATTTTTCAAATCATTCACTTTTTGCGAAATAGACGGAACCTCTGTTATAAATGGCATGCAAAGTATAAATGTGTTAAGATTAAATAAAATGATAGTTTAATTGGAAAATTAGAAATTAGTCCTGAAATTAGTATTGGACAATCTTTTAAATAGTTAATGTCAACAAAGAAAGCAAAGGTCTATACGTCTTCAATGACTTAAATAAAATAAAAACGAGGATATTTAAAATAGGTTAATTCAGTGACCACACTGGCAATCATATTTGAATTATCAAAGTTGAAGCACAGAAAATGGTTACACCTGGGCATGCCATGTAGCTATTCAATCTGTGTATGGGTTTGATATACCAACTTGGTGTACTGAGGGGGACAACTATCTACTTAAATTTATCTTGCACTTTTTAAGACAGACTTTATGCAATGTGAACAAAAGTTTGTAAGAAATGCCAAACGATGTTGATCTCAGACCGTCCTAATATTTCAATAGATATCATGGGGTCTCTCAAACGCCGCGATTAGGACAGCAATGGAAATTGAGGAAGCATTTTGAAATCACTGATGAACCTTATTTTATTCATTAGGTGTTCAAAAACTTGGGAGAATCCAACCATATTATGTCTCTGGCGAACCTTATTTTATGTATTAGGTGTTCAAAAAACGGCCAATGTAAACTTTGAGGGGCTAGATTGATGTTGTAATGAATCGTTATTCTTATATTCTAACAAAAGGATCCTTTAATCACATAAGGTGATTCAATCATTATGACAGAGTCATGGAGGCCAGATTTAAAGTACTTAAACATATACACTAATTCAAATGCAATTTGAATGTCAAGCTAAACTTGAAATAGTGACTAGAATATTCGCACTATATTTTTATGTACGGGCATTTTATTCTGAACTCAGAATCGTATAGACTCACAATGTGTGCATGTCCTTTTCTTCTTTTTTGGTTGAATGTGTGCATGTCCTTGGCAGAGCAAATTTTGAGACAGTTAGTCTATTGGAAAGAACTAATTTTCGTGCTTAGATATGAGAGGAAGTCATTTTTTTCATAACCGCAGTCTATGAGATTGGAGTCTAGCGCTAATACATTTTTACGAATCATTCAATGTGGACATTTTTATTTCTAAGATGCCGACAATGTCGGCATGTGCCTGTCCTAATTTCGATAGATTAAATATATGGAAGATGATGTTTTTGTGTCCAGTCTTCCCAAGATAGAGCGGACTCTCCACCACAGCGATTAGATGCTGAAGAAAACAAAACCACGCTACTCTTTGGTCGTACATTAGAAAAGGATGGAGACAGAGTCCTACATTGTAGACTTTGGAGGAAATGCCTAAAAAGTCCTCAATTTTTTGTACAACGGCCAATTCAGTCCTAAACTTTTTAATTAGCCAATTTAATCCAAAAACTTTTGATGGTTTTTTAATTTTTTTAAATTTTTCTGAATTTTTTTTTCATTTTTTTCATTTTCTTTTCTTTATTTTTTCATTTTCTTATTTCCCTCCGCCAATCTAGTGCCCTGACGATCAACAACTGAGGTTGCCGGCCACGATGCCTCGCTCGCAGGCCCACACCCAATGGTCGGTGAATGCCACAACTCCCTTGCCCATGGCCGGCGAAGATGACAAGGGCATCCTAGCCCTTGCCTGTGGCCGACAACCTTTGCCAAACATTGTCGCGGCCCCAAACCAGCTGAGAAAAAGAGGATAAAAAGAAAAAGGAAAGAAAAAAAAGCAAAAATTCAGGAATTTTGAAAAATTGCAAAAATCGTCAAGGTTAACACCGACCATATCATGTAGGGTGGCCGATGTCCACGTTAATAACTATTGATCAAAATTGATTAGGAAAATTATATTGGCAAAATTAAAAAATTCAGAACTGAATTGACCGCCTTACAATAAATATAGAACTAAATTTTCACTGTGCTAATGTTCGCGTTCTCCACTAGAGATTTGAAATTTCTAAGGTGTTAAAACTCCCCTGGATATTTAAAACTCCTATGTTCACGTGCATCGTCAACTTTGACAGGCTGGAGTGATGTGGCCATGAATCATTCTCATTAAAAAATTGTAGCACATGGCCCACGACTCTCTGCATATTTGGTCAATCCTGGCTTATAAGTTTAATAATGACCTACAGAGTTCTCTATTTGTTAAGTTTTGGCTTCCAAAATTTCCCATCTCTGGCTGCCACTACTTTTGCTGCTATCCTGTTCATTTTTTTCTTGAAGAGGAGGAGATCAAGTGAGATCAATGGAGGGGAGTGCAAAAGAACGATGCATCCGTGAAAACGATGGAGCAGCAAGAGGTGCTTCTAGCAGTCACACTTCAACAGAAGGTCACGAAATGGCCACTTTATCAGGATATGACTATGAAGTATTCTTGAGCTTCAGGGGACCAGACACTCGAGAACGTTTTACTGACTTCCTTAACACTAGTCTTAAAGATGTGGGTATCCGCACATTTAAGGACGACGAAGATCTCCGCAAGGGGGAAGAGTTTGGCCCAGAACTTCTCCAAGCAATTAATCAGTCGAAGATCTCAATACCTATCTTTTCAAAAGGTTATGCCTCTAGCGTATGGTGTCTCAAGGAGCTAGTCCAGATGGTCGAGTGCCAGAAAACTGGAAGACAAAAGATCATGCCCATTTTTTATGATGTGGACCCTTTAGAGGTTCGGTACCAAACTGGAGGTTACGGAGAGGCCTTTCTTTCACATGAAAAGAAGCAGCGATTTGATGAAGAGGCTATGCGCCAGAGGAAGGCTGCTCTGAAAGAAGTATCATTTCTAAACGGATGGAACCTGCACAGCAAGACCGACAGGTGACTACTTTTAGCATTCCATCTGATGTGCCTTGTATCATGAAAACTCAATGCATTTCCATTGGTTTCTTTTCTAGGTTTGTGTTAGTCTTGTTGAAATTGAATTTTATGCTATTGGACCTTTACCGCATAAATCACTCTAAATCATGGCACAATCCCAATTTTGTCCTTTCTCATTCCAAACAATATTTTCTTCAGTTCAGGTCATTCATTAACCTTTTGTTCCTATGCTAATTCATGTACAATGGTATAAATCCTTGAAGAACACATTTCGATTAGGTCCTTAGTTTTCAATTTGGTCTTGTCAGAACGTAATTTTGTTCAGCACAGTTTCTAACTCGTTGCCTTTTGACCTCCAAAATTAGGCGAGAAGGTGAGTTCGCCAAAACAGTTACCCAAGAGGTTTTCAATAAGTTGAAAAAGGCTTATTTGGAGGTATCAGACTATTTGGTCGGCATCGACCACCATGTGGATGAAATCATGAAAAAGATAGGTGCTCGGACAAGTGAAACACGGATTATAGTAATCCATGGGATGGGTGGCATTGGAAAGTCGACTATTGCCAAAATAATTTACAATCAACTTTCAAACAATTTCAAGCATTGTTGCTTTCTATCCAACATCCGTGAACTGTCAGAACACAAGGGCATTGAATGCTTGCGGCATCAACTCATCTCCAACATCCTCAAAATGAAAGATAAAAAAAACATAGATGATGGGAATCAGACAATTAAATACAGGTTGTCTACTAAACAAGTCCTCCTTCTTCTCGATGATGTGCATGAAAAGAAACATATGGATGCACTCGTAGGTGAGCGTAATTGGTTTGGTAAAGGGAGCAAACTTATTATTACTACTAGAAACAAAGACATTCTCAAGGTTCCCACAGTGGACGACCATTATGAGGTTAATGGCATGGATCCCGATCAATCTCTTCAACTTTTTAGCAAACATGCCTTCAGAAGAGATTATCCTTTGGGCGAGTATACCAACCAATCCAAAAGGGCAATAGGCATTGCTGGAGGTCTTCCATTGGCTCTAGAGGTCATAGGTTCACTTTTATCTTGCACTAAAAAGGAAAAGTGGGATCTCACATTGAAGAAGTTGGAAAGTGTTCCTCCTACAGAAGTCCAGAGTAAGTTGAATATAAGCTATGGAGCATTAGATGTTCGGCAAAAGCATATATTCCTCGATATAGCTTGTCTTTTCATTGGATATGACAAAGACATTGTGATTCATTTCTGGGATGAATCTAAATTTCCGGAAGAAGCCATGGAAGTTTTGCAGAACATGTCTTTGATAAAGATTAAAGAGGATAATAAAGTGTGGATCCATGATCAACTCAGAGATCTCGGAAGAGAAATAGTTCGTCAAGAAAGTAAGATGAAACTAAAGAAGCAAAGTAGGGTGTGGAATCCTAAGGAAGCATTGGATTTGTTGAGGAGACATGAGGTAAAATCTCCCGTGCAATAAATCTCCAAGTTACTTATAGATATTTTCTTTTCAAAAAAAGGCAGTTGTGTTTTGTGTTCTCTAGCATTAATGTGATCTACTCAACTAATATTTATGCTCTTTTATGATTAAAGAAACGATAGTACTCAACTCAACCCCTTAAAATAGTGAACTTGAATAAATGTGTTTCCCTTCAACTTTTTTGTTTTTAAAATTTTCCTTTGGACAGGGAAAAAACAAAGTTGAAGCTCTTCGTCTCAAGTTTGACCATGAGGGACAGTACCATTTTACCTATAAGGGCTTTATAAGACTATCAAATCTAAGGTTCCTTGCAGTTGAGGGTTCGGTAGAAAATTTTTGTGCTGAAGAGATGCTACTTTGGCACGAATCACCATCAAATGTTTTCCAGGAGAATTCAGATCTCCTTCCACAATTACGATGGCTTTCATGGTGCAATATTCCACCAACATTTAACATAACAATTTTCTCTATGGAGGATACAGTTATTCTTGATCTATCTGGGAGTGAAATTACACATGATTGGAAGGGGTGGAGCCACATGAAGGTATGTTATATGCTAAACAACACTTAGTATTCCGTCTTATTAGATTCAAAATTAATCTTTGCATGGTATTTCTTTTACAGGTTATGAAGAATTTGAAAGTTCTGAATTTGACCGGTTGCCATCTCTTGAGGAGAACTCCCACCTTCTGTGCTCCGGCAAATATAGAACGTTTGATCCTACACGGCTGTAAATCATTAATCGAAATTGATAAGTCGATTTGTCAGTTGAAGAGCTTAGTTTACATAGATGCAAGCGGTTGTGAGAATCTTTGTGTGCTGCCAGACGAGCTGGGTGGAGATCTTGCAAGCCTTGAATACCTAAATCTAAGTCGGTGCGGATTGTTGGAGAGGCTTCCGGATTCAATTTGGAAGTTGGAATCGCTGATTGAGTTGAATATAAGTCATACGAGGATCAACGAACTGCCTAGATCCATCGGAAAGTTGAAAAATTTGAGAGTAGTGAGGATATGTAGTCATATAAGCAAAATACCGGATGCCCTTTGGATGATTGAGAAGCTCGAAGAAATAGAATACGATCGTGAAAATTTGCCCGGAGGCCGCGTGAAAGTTGGAAAATGCATCTCCATGAATCAATCCCTGAGGATCTTGAGATTGAAGCTCGCGAATATATGCACACTATCAAGACTTCCAGAAAGTCTTATCACTCTGGAATTGTCTAGGTTGTACATGGACAAGTTTCCAGATCTCTCAAACCTCACTAATTTAAAGGGATTGGATCTGATGTTTTGCCCACCTGATTTAGAGATGATATCTAGTGGGCCTGTGGAATGTCTGATACCACAATGGATTGAGAAGTTAAGCAACCTGGAGTATCTGCGCCTCGACTCTCATTATGTGACCACCTCACCAACAGACCTTAGCCTCCCTCCTCATCTCATAACAGTTCATCTCGAGTGCCCTAATCTACGTTGCCTGCCGAGGCTTCCTTCAAGTTTATCCTTCTTAACTTTGTACGATTGCAAGTCACTTTGCTCAATGGAGGATCTATCGAATTTGAAGAATCTATCATTCCTCAAGATTACGTTCGCTACAATTGCAGAGATTCAAGGCCTTGGTTGTTTGGGGAACCTACGAGAATTGGAGCTTAATTGGCTTGGACGGGTAAAGACACTACCTGATCTAAGAAATTTAAACAAACTAAGGCTTCTTAAAATAAGATCTTGTGATGATCTATTTGAGATTCAAGGCGAACTACCACTTTCTTTGGAAGGATTGCGTATCTATAGCTGTCGTTCTTTACAAAAGCTGCCCGATCTATCAAGCTTGATGGGTAAGACAAATGTTGAAATAGACTATTGTGATAAATTTCTTGAATATGCTCGCATGAATCGACAAGTTTTGAAGCTTGTAGGCTTTAAAGAGCTGCAGATCCTACCTAATCTAAGCAATTCAAACGAACTAAGACATCTTCGAGTAAAAAACTGTGGTAAGTTGGTTGAGATTCAAGGTGAACTACCACAATCTTTGGAAGTCTTGAAGATTTCTTCGTGTAAACTTTTACAGAAGTTACCTGATCTGTCCAACTTGAAGAAACTGCAGCGGGTTGACATAGAAGGTTGCACGAAATTAAAGGGTGAGGCAATTCTTGGCTCTGCTCGAAGAAGTCAAGCGAATTTGTGGGAGAACCTACAATATTTGGGAATTTGTGGCCTTGTACAGGTGGAGATACTACCTGATCTAAGTAACTTAAACAAACTACAACATCTCCGAGTAGAAAACTGTGATAATTTGGTCGAGATTCAAGGTGAACTACCACAATCTCTGGAAAAATTGGAGATTTGTTCCTGTAAATCTTTACGGAATTTGCCTGATGTGTCAAACTTGAACAGACTGCAAAGGGTTAAAATTCATCGTTCTTGGAAATTAAATGTGGAGGCAATTTCTTTGCTTTGCTCGGAGAAGTCAGTAGAATTTGAGGAAGAAGAAGACGAATGGGACAGAGAAGACGATGAGTTTGAATATGAGGAAGAAGGTACCGAATCCGAATCTGAGGGATTCGGATTCAGACAACGAGTCTCAATATGAGGCAATTTCTTCGCATGCTGCACTTTAAAGCTTCTTGAGCCACAACCACAAATTGTTCCCTTGTGTTCTAACTCTAAACAAAGTGCGGTAAGTTAATTCATCTGACAACCAATATTTTCTTTCTTTTTTAGCAATCAAATTCTTTCAAAGATACGACCGGAGAAGTTTTACGGGTGCACTTTTTAATGACCTTTTTGCAAGTTCATGTCTTAAAATCTGCTGAAATATTTAAATTAGGATACCTCCGAACAACCAGAGGGTTCTTAATTATGATTTTTTTTTTCCTAGTTTGGTTTGGCTTTTTTAGCTACATTTTCTTTGGATGGTTTCTCCTTGCTTTTTTTATTCCCAGCTGAGGTGCATGTCAATTGCATTGTTTTTATTTGATATTTGTTATGTAACTAATTATTAGAGATCCTTGTCAATTTGCTGCTTCACATGTTTTGAAGTTGGTAACCTTGCCTCGCATTGGGGATAACTTCATTATGTTGTAAACAATTAGATGAAATGTGTGTTGAAAGGTCATATAACTATGGTTCTCGCCTGGAACTTTACAGCATAATCAATTAATTCTTACCGGGGTTTGCATATGTTATGAAGAAGCTATAAAATGAAGAAAGAGGAATTTCACTTGGGTAGCTACATCAATAGTTGGTGCAGCAAAACTTCCATCTCCAAGGTATAACAAATTATCTTATAGTTAAGGCTAAATTTAGTATCGGTGCTTTAGATATATGATAAGTCTCACTTGGGGTTGGAAATCATTTAAATGAAACTCTTGTATGATCTCCATTATTGCCTACATTTCTAGAAATGCCTAGGCAATTATCTATCATAGAAGCCCTTCCATTCACCTCGTTATACTAAAGGATTCTTTTAGGTTTTAAGATTAATAAGAAGTGCTAAGGAAGGCATCTCAAACAACCGGCTTTTGCTGGTTCCTAATGTTGCTGAGAGGAATTAAAGTTACATAAACTTACAAAAAGCTTTCTGCACAGGGAACTGCGGCTAATTGGGCAGCTGTACAAATGAAGACCGATAAAGGAAAATGAAGATGACATTCAACGTGAAGTTTTTCATCCACTTTTTAATTACTTCTTGTGAGTTGATGCCTGGAAATCTAAAGAAGGTATTGAAATTACGGTATATTCGTACAACCAGAGGGTTCTTTCGTACAAATATATGTTTTGTTTTCCTAGTTTGGTTTGGCTTTTTTAGCTATATTCTTTTGGATGGTTTCTCCTTGCTTTTATGTTTCCCAACTAGAGGTATGCATGTCGATTACGTCGTTATTATTACAATTCATTAGAGATCCTCGTCTATTTGCTGCTTCATAATTTTTCGAAGTTGACACCCTCTGCTTCGCATAACTTTGCCATACTGTTAACAATTAGATGAAATGTGTCTTGGAAGGTCATAGCACTATGGTTCTCATACTGGAATTTTACAACATAATCAACTCATTGTTGCAATTGTAAAGAAGACGGACTCTGTATTGATATGCTTATGTTCGGATTTTTTTTTTTGTTGGAGCTTCGGTTTATTTTCTAGGAAAGGTGTGCTTCTTAATGGGATTTGCAAATGTTATTGAGAAATTATAAAATGAAGAAAAAGGAATTTTATTTGGGTAGTGGCATCAATAGTTGGTGCAGCAAAGCTTCCATCTGTGACAAGATAGAACTATTTAGCTTCTCCAAGGTTTCATAAATCATCTTATAGTTGAGGCTAAATTTCAGTATTATCAATGCATATGTCATATGACAAATCTTACTTGGGGTGTGAAATCATGTAAATCGACCCTTGTGTGATCTCCAATAGTGCCTCTATTTTCTCAAAATGGTTATGCCTAGGTAATTTATCTGTAATAGAAACCCTTCCATTCACCTCAAGTTATACTAGATGACTCTTTAAGGTTTAAGGATTGACAAGAAGTGCTCAGGAAGACATATCAAACAATTGGCTTTTGCTGGTTTCTAATGTTGCGGAGAGGAATTAAAGTTTAAGAAACTTACAAAAATCTTTCTGTGCAGGGAGCTGTGGCTAATTTGTCAGCTGTATAGACGAAGACCAAAGAAAGGCAGATGACGGATGAAATTTGATGTTGACCGTTGGTAATTAAGTTTCCAATACGATGTAAATTTGTCAATTTACACGTTGACAATTTATGTGAGATCCTCAAAACTTGCTGGTTTGTACTTTAGATTTGAACCCAATAACCCTACCTTGTAAAACTTAACTTTGTTATACCTTAAACAATGAAGGATATAGTCAAATGTGAAGGTTTTAATCCGTGACAGAAACTCTTTCATTCACTTTTTGGTTATCCTAAGAATGGAGCCTTAGGTTTCAACATTGATATGGAGAATCACTATACAACAAAAGAGTCCTATATGACAATCTGAGCTCTTTCTCTCAGTCATAAGTAAGAAAAAACTTACAAATTCTTTCTGTAAAGATAAGCTACGGCTAGCTCAATTAATGCATAGAATTGACAATCGTATATCTTTCCCAACGTTTTGGTGCTGTACTCTGGCTTTTACTGTAATGTACAGACTCCAGCTTATCATACAGTGTCAAGGATTTAGCTGGTCTCCTGCACAATGTGCTTTGAATGGTCATAATTGGCAATATATGCTTTGAAATTACTAAGGAATTTCAGTTTTTTAGGTTTCTGCTAATGTTAATTCTTGCATATCAGAAATAGAAGGTAAAAGCTTACAGCTCTTGTTCCAAAGGCCAATCAGATCATTCTTACATGTCTAAGCCAAGAAGATATAAATTGTTTACCTCCTAAAAGTTGAAATTCAGCAGAAGTTGCCAGTTGAAATGATGCGAACTTCAGACAAGGTTGTCATTTGTTTTCGAGATGGCTTGTTTTAACTGTTAATATGCATAATTTCCTGCCAGGAAATATAGTTGAAGTACTTGGTTGTGCCGAGAAATCTTTTATGTGCCAATGAGCCAGTGATAGAAGGTAAGATCACTGCTTGAAAAGTGGTCTCCCTAGACAGTCTTTGTTTCACCTCATAAAACAGGATAATTGCCTAACCGTGCAAGTCTTACAATTCCGAAATTCACACACATCTGCCAATTTTGTGAAGTTCAACGAGAGTTCAACCCCCCAAAAAGGGGAAAAAAAGGAAGGAAAAAAACTGGTGATTCAGCTATGGATAGCTCAGCATAGCATCCACACACCCTTAATAGATTTCATCAAGCCTAATAAACAAAGCCACAGGTCCAATATTAGATTGATAGGTAAACTTGCGAGCGCATTCATTCAATAGATATCACAGAATTGTATTAACAAGAATGATAGAGTCAACTTCATGCTATTTACATTCCAAGTGAATTTCAGTAGAGATCCTATGCATCTTGTGATGGACATGGAAACATATGATGGAATGCATTTCGTGAACAAACTTCATCTGGAGCTACCAAATGATCTTTGAGAAATTAGGTGCTGGCTTAGGAGCATTTTACTTTAAGTTGCTCTTGGCATTGGAGTCTGAACGCAACCTTAATGCAGAAGCAGAAAAATTCTTGGAAAGCATAAGATTTCCTTTGTCAACTTCGCTTCCATATTCCTTCAATCGTGGGTCCATGATGATTTTGCACGATCCCCATGTCTCCGCCATTAATTCCACACCATAGTAGACTAAATGGTCCACGATGATCATCCGTCCGTAAATATTCCCAGTAAGAAAGGACTGGCATTCTCTAGAATAAGCTGGTCTGTCACACGTCTTATTGCAACTAGCACAATAAATCCACAAAATAATTGCTTGTAACAGGTAGCTACGACTGCAACTACCTCCTTACCTGCTGCCCATTGGATCTTCTCCAGAGCCACCACAAACTTCCTCAACCTGATACACCAGACTACCAAATCCTCTATTATACAGCCATACCTACAACAAAAGAAAGATTCCAATTACATGTGCACACTAACATAGAAAAGAGTAAGATCATCTCACACCAAATTATTTTCACATTATCTCACATCAATATGTTAATCCGTGGCTGTCATTGAAGTTGCCAATAATTATAGGCATTAGTAGACATACATAATATAAATGAGTAATACCTTATAATTGCATAGAGCTTAAGACTAGGTCATCATCCATCATAGAGAGAGAGAGAGAGAGAGAGAGTAAATAATACACATTATTGTGCGTCTTAAATTTTGGAGTTGGTACAAGAAACTCATGATAGCTTTACAGGAAGGAGAGGAGTTCCTTAAATATTGTCAAAAAGGTCATGAGTACTACAAACTGCCCTGCTTTGTTAAGAAAATCGTTGGAAAAAATAAGACATCTCTAGTTAGTTAGGTTGAAAGAATGCAAAGTAAACATCAAATGCAATCAGCGACAATTCCCCATAATTTATCTGATATTCCATCAAGATCAAATTCATACCTCTCTACGGAAGTGGTGGCATGTCTTTGTGGGAACCGAGAATAGTACGGAGACAAATGAGGCACAACATCATGTCCATTAGTAATATGTGTAGTGTATTTGGCACACGGTCACTGTAGTCAGACACAGACGTTGCATTTCCAATACGAGGTTGTCCAAATGTCAAAACCTGGACATTCTGTGCTTCCTGATTGACCTGGAAATTAAGTGTCCTCAGTTATATAAGTAAATCAAGTGAGTGCTGGTCTGGAAAACAACTTCAGCACACACAATTAGACAGCCAAGCAACTTCAGTGTTCAATACTTTCACGAGGGGAAAAACTACTATGCATCAATAAACATATATTGCCACATACGAAGGTGAACGATAGATCAGCCCTTTCTCTCCATGAGGTTTGGAGGTCTAGCGTTACTCTGTCTAGATCCCGTCCATAATTTTCCAAAACCAAACCCCACAACCACAACAAAACCAACCCCACCCTCACCCCAAGAAAAGGTGTTAATAATATGGAATAGTAGGATTGGGGGTGAATTTACAACCAAGGCGCATTTAAATGCTTCCACAACAAGCACTTGGATGTTGGCGGGGTGAGTCACATCCAGCTAATGACATAAACAAAAAATTCCAGGTTGATGGTGAAATTGCCCCTTGAACCCCAAACTTACAGTCATTGATAGCGAAGGAGAAACTAAATCTTAAAAAGGGCCATGACGCAAGGAAAGGGCCACGACGCATGAGCATGATGTCACAACTGGCTCAGAACAATTTTCAGCAGGAAACCAGCAAAAAAAATGACATTTTAAATCATCTAAGTGTTCGGACAAGATGTTACAGTTGCTATGAATACTTCGAGAAAAGGTTTAGTCTAAAGCTCGAGCAACCGATGATCCTATCCTAGGCCACATAAATGTGTGTATTATCTGAGTCCAAGACAAAGTTTGACCCTCAAAAATCACAACTTTTCATGGAGAAGAAAATTAATGGGACATGACTTTGGGGTGTTTACCATTTCTGGTACCAGTTCCACAACAGGTGCCTAGAAATCTCTGGACCACTCTGTCCAATAAAGCTGAGACAAAAAGCATAATTGACATTTTAGAATTGGCTCCAGCCTACAACATATCTGGCCCGTAGTCCAACAAAAAAGAAGCTGCTTCTTTTGGTTAGAGACAGACCGACAGAAACAGTGCACAGAACACAGATTTAGGATCAATATATTCTAGTTTAAAATGCATTAGCACTTCAAGATTACATGACATAAAATTTGAGCTTCAAGTGCTTGCCAAAGTTTATATATCCAGACTATTAACATATCAATAATCCCATAAAGTTTCCAACAAGTAAACTTTGTAATGATTAGTTGGAAGTCTTTATCCACTATATTTAGGCATTCAACCAACTTGAAGCTCCATGGCTTAACATGTAAGACTCAATTCACACAGCTAAATACATCAACCATAGGTGGTTCAGGTAAAGGGTTGTTTGCAACCCATTCTGCTTGTGTTATGTCTATGGGTTGATTTACCCAAAAAGAAGAAAAACAAGTTGCTGACCAATTGTAAATATAAATATGAAGCCATAGAAAGTTCAAGATATCCAGAGTCTAGACTTGTGACATCCCGAATTTCGGCCCATTTTTGGGATTTATAAAACGCGTAATTTGTCAGTGTGCTTATAGTAAAATCTCGCCCGGGAACTGATCACTCCCGGTTATCATTTTTAAATTAGAGATTTCGCTAGAATCGCACTCGATCGAATTTGGCCGTTATTTAGACCCCGAACTTGGCAGTAGATTTCCGGGAGTTTCGGGACGAAATAAATTGGACGGTGTCGATATTATTGTGGCCAGCCTCGAGATTGCCAGGAATAGTGGAAAAGTGAAATTTCGACCGGGTGCGGATTTAGACTAGCAGACCTCCCTCGTAGTGTGTTTTGAGTTATTTTATTTTACCCAATTGCCCTATAATATTAATTAGGCTTTTTATGGGCCGTTAGATTGTTTTTGGATTCGAACCGTGTCCGTTGAATCGCATTCGAGTGCGTTGACTTTCTTTTTCTCTCTTTCTCTCTCCTCCCCTTTTTCCCGCTCGCGTTCCCCCTGTCCCGTCTACTCTCTCTCTTTTCTCTCTCTCCCCTCTGTTGCGCCGAGCCCCAGACCTGCACGTTTCCTTTTCCCGTGCGTCTGCCCCTCTCTCCTTCCTTCCTTCCTTCTCTCTCTCTCTCTCTCTCTCTCTCTCTCTCTCTCTCTTTTTCCCCCTTGCATGCACACGTCCATCACGCATGCACGCACGCCCATTCCCCCCCTCTGACACCCCACCCTCTCTCTCTCTCTCATCTTCCTTCTTCTTCTCTTTCTTCTTCCTTCTCTTCTCTTCGGCTCTTCTTCTTCGATCTTCTTTCTTCCTCCCCGACGAGCCTGCGTGTGGCCCCGCTCCGCCTGGCGCCGACCCAGCTCGCCAATCGCCGCTCGCCGGACCGACCTCCGCCGCTCGTCACCACCGCACACCATCCGACCGCCACCTCCGCCTAGCCGCCCCGACTCTTCCTTCTCCTCCTCCCGAGCGCGTGAGCTCGGCTCGCCGCCGTTCCCGCCGCCGCGTCGCCTAGCTGCCCCCGTCGTCGCTGCTCGCCGCAGGCCGGCCAGCTCGCCGTCACCAGCTCGTCCGGCCGGCTCGTCGCCGTTGCCCCCCTTCTCGGCCCCGACTTCTCTCTCCCTCACCTCGCCCTCACCGCCCGGGCCGACCTCCATATCTCCTCCGGCTCGTCGCCGCCGCCGCGTGCTGTTGCAGCTGCCCGCCGCCGTCGCCGCGGCGTTGCCGTCGCCCATGTTGTGCCGCCGCGTCGCCACCGGTCCGCCACCCCACTCCCGGCCCAGCTTCTTCTCTCTCTCCCTCTCGCCTCCACCCCGGCCGACCTCCACCCTCCACGCAGCTCGTCGTCGCCTTTCGCTACCACCGCGCCGCCGTCGCCGTCGCCAGTAGTCGCCGCCGCCGGTCGCCGCCCAGGCTAGCCCGGCCCGGCCCGGCCCGCCCGGCCAAGCCGTGGCCAAGCGGCTCGGGCCAGCCCCGGCCGTAGCCAGCGGCCCGGCCGGCCCCGGGTCGTGGCCGAGCTTGCCGCGTCGTGCCCGTCCGAGCCAGCGCTGCCG